TCTTAATTGTTAATTCATTTCTTAATGGCTCTTTTTATCCTTAGTTGATACCCAAGTAGAGGGTGTAAAGTCAAAATGTATTTTTTGTATCATTCAAAAGAATTTTTTGCTATGTTGCTATGCAATCAACTTGATATAAAATTCGGTTCACTTGTTTATTTAGGCTTTTAGGGATTGCTTTTATATTGACTTACATTTAAAAAATAATGTAAAAAACTTACCTGGTTTCCAAAGTCAAAATGAGAAAACAAGACACATCAGAGAAGTCCAGATGTCTTCCGAGTTTCCACTCAATTTTTTTTCTTCCATTGTTTATTTTAGAGAAAATAAGATTATTTGCATGTATTAACATCCCTCCACTTTGCTCAAAAGTTCAGAGGTCTGTCTAGCTTTAGCAGTCTCAATTCTTCAAGCTTTTGCTCTGTTAGACACCAAACCAGCTTCCAGGGGCTCCCACTGGTAAAACTTGGGAAATTTGAGGTGGGAGCTTTTGTCTCCATCTGGGAGCCAAGGAGGCGGGGCTCAGCGGGGGCACGCAACGCACCCAGGGTCCCCAGGGTCGTGTAGATGATGAGCTGGGCGAGACCTGGCCTAGTGACCAAGGAGGGAAAGGGAATTTGAATGTTCCTCCCGCTGTTGCACCTCCTCCTCTGGGAAACAGCCCCTTCTGGGCACTTGACATTGAAGCCTCAGAGGCTTGACAACCCAGAGCCCTGCTCAGTAGGCCCCTTAAGCCACCTGGCTCCTTCCTGAGGATGCCAAGGGACGATGTGGGACCAGCTGGGAAGGGTGGGGCAGGGAGCATAGCTCCAGGGGGCAGTCATGGGCTTGGCCCTGAGGGGCGCCAAGGATGGCACCTCGGGGGCAGACAGGTAAGAATTCAGCTCACCAGCCTGTGCTCCGAGGACCTACTGCTAACAGCCCAGACTGGCACCTCTTTCCGGTTGCATCGGGATGCCTGGGCCGGCCCTGCCTGAGCTGTTTCTGGCTCCGACAGTGACAGCCTCCTAAGGGACCGCTGCCTACGGAGTGAGGCCTGAGGTCGGCCAGGGCGGGAGCCGCACAAGGCACGGTGACCGTGCACACCGCCAGCCGGGTCTCATGAGCTTCTGGGAGAAAGTCCTGAGTTCCAAATGCTAGACCCAGCGTTGGCGCCCCGAGCCCACGGGCGGCCTTCCCCAGGGACCGGAGGGGCAGCCGAGGTGGAAATTCAACCCGGGCGAGACCTCACACGAGGGAGACCACAAGCTCAAAGAAAGCGTGATGTGACCGCTTGCTGGGTTTGTCCGGCAAAACCGTCCCCAAGAGCAACCAGGGCAACTGCGTGTCACCCGAGCTCACACTTCCTGCGAGACCGTTTGAAACCATCCTTCTCTTCTACTTCGTGTTTGTCGGCCTCAAAAAAAAACCTGTGAACCACCTGGAATGTGTTTGGGCATCGGCGGCAGCAGGACACCAGCTCTCCAATGGGAGCCTCGATTCAGGGCTCTGGTGCGTCCCGTCGTGGCACGTCCAAGCCTCCTTCAGAGGTCACCTCCCTGGGGAACCACACGCGGGACACGTCCCCCAGCAGACGGGGGCGGCACAGGGGCTCGAGGAACGCGGCGTGGAGCCCGGCCCACTGGCCCACGTGGTCCCGGGCCCCCGAGGGCAGTGACTCATGTGCCATCAGAGGCTAGAGAGACCAGGGTGACCGAGGCTCTAAAACCACCTCCACTTCTCACCCGACAGCCATCCCTGGCGAGGGTAAGGTGCGATCTTTGACAATCAGCCAGGACCTGAACCACCACGCCGGGGGTGGGGGCGGGGGTGGAGGACTGTCCTAGAGGATCTGGACAGTCTCTCCCTCGTCTCTTTATCTGTGTCACTGGATGGCTGGGTCATACCTAGCAGATGTCAGACTCTGAGGCATCTCTGAGGGGTCCTGCTCGCCTCTAAATGCCAGGTAGGTGGGTGGGGAGATGGATGGATGAACTCATTTAATCCTCACAAGACAGTCTATGAAGCAGAGGTACTTTGACTGTACAAATGGCAGAACTAAGGCTCAGAGAGATTCGGGGACCGTCCTGAGGTCACACAGCAACCAGAGCCTGCCTGAGGGCAGCGGATGCCCCGCCCAGCACTGCCTGCCCCTCCTCCCAGGTCTAACCCTGGAATCTGCACCATGACGAAGGAGGAAAAAATAAGGAGGGAACTTTATTTAATATTAAAGTCGGGGAGGGGATCGGAAGGGAGATCGGATTCACTTGGTGATGGTGTTCCTGCGGAGAGAAGAGAAGCATGAGGCTGGACACCAGCTCGGGCCTTCCCACCCGGTCAGGTGGCCCCT